CGCCGAGACCCATCCCACCAAGAGCCTTTTGCCCTCCTTCAGCTTCTTGGCCGCTGTGACGGGGCAGCTCACCACCACCGTGCGCAGCCCCGAGTTGTCCGGACGGATGGTGCCCGCCTTGATCTGGTCAGCAGGGCACCCTCCCGTCCTGGCCACAGCGGCCACCACCTCACTTTCCGTGACGGAGTCGTCCAGGCCCAATATCCGGACATCCACACATTTGGTGGGCCTGGACACGCGGGCCTCGTCTGCCCCGAGGCACGCCCTAAGCCTCTCAGCCAGGGCGTCGGCCGACGGGCCACTGGCCGCGCCGGGGACCTCCAGTAGACGGGCTCCGGTAGCGGTCACCTTGACCGCAAACCCGTCCGGGGCCCCGAACTCCGCAGGTGTTACCGCCCCCTTGAGCTTGGCGAGGACGTCACCATAGGTAACGCCCCTATTGACCGCCTCGGGCTGCAGTGTAATAACTACAGCCGCGGTCTTAGGGGCGAGGAGCAAGGCAGCAGCGCGTTTCTCCCTGCGCTGCTGCTGCCGTCGCTGCCGCTGCGCCTTTTTGCGGCGCTTTCGGCCCTCCCTGGCGACTCTCCTCGCCTCGCCGGCGATTTGCCAACCGCCGCCGTCCTCCACTCGCGGGGCGGGTTCCGCCGCCGCTGCTGCAACTCCAGCTTGCCGGGCTGGAGTGTCCCTCCTCTTTTTGCGCCTCATGGGCGCAGGCGCCATCGGCGCAGCTGGGGTCTGCGCCGGCGGGGGCGCCGAGGGCCTCGCGGGAGGAGGCGCCCGCGCCTTTGCCGGCGGTTGGGGGCCGCGGCCAGCCTGACCAGTGGAGGTCGGAGGCTTGGCCACAGCAGCCGCGTATGAGCCCGATGCCGCGGGCGGGGAGGCCCGGCTCGATGCGAGCGGGGGGCGCAAAAGCCTGCCCTCCAGCACGTCAAAACGTCGCTGGAAGGCAGCCATCTCCGCTCGCAGCAGTCCGACTACGTCGGACTCCGCCGGGGGCTGGGGGTGACTGCCGCGAGCAGCGGCGAGCTCGGCCCTGGCCGTCCGCAGCTCGGCCTCCAGGGCCGCATTGGAGGCCGCCAAGCGCGCCAGCTCCCGCCGCATCTCGCCCAGCTCGGAGCGCACCTTTTCTGCAGTGGGCACCGCGCACTGCTCCAAGGCTGCCTCCGTAATAGTGGCCACCGCCGCCCTGAGGAGGGAGAGCCTAACCGGCTGGGATTTCCCCATAGCCAGTTTATGGAGCACCTCCGTGATGGCCTGTCGGAGGTGCCCGGAGCCGCTCGCGCTCTCGGAGCCCGACTCGCCCTCCGAAACCTCCACGCCGGACATCTCGGCTGCGGAGGACTCTGAACGGGCAGCGCTCGAGAGAGCCCTGCCCTCCGCAGCCAGCTGCTCGGCTGACTCCACGCAGGCAACTGGTGCCGGTTTCCGGCGACCGCCGCCCTTGCCGCCCCTACCCCGCGCCGCCGTTGGGACTTTAGGGGGAGGCGCCTGCGCGCCGGAGGACGGGGACGAAGCGTCCTCCTCCAGCCTGGGACGCTTAAACGTCCCCGTCACGCGACGGCGTGAGCCCTTCGAGCTCACGCTCAGCCGATCCGCCAGTGATGTGTCGGACTCAGGGTCCGACACCATCGTAATTGATGCCCGTGTGTGGGGCACGCTAGATGTGTCCAGCGTCTCCCCACGGGCGCCAGAGCCCCTTGGGCTCCCCTCTACTACGTCTGCAGGTGAGCCAAGCTCACCCGCACTCTCCTCCTCCGACAGTTGTGGTTTTGTTTTTTTAGATTTTACTTTCTCCATACAGTTCCCACGAGTATGGGGGAAATATTCGGTCCACCCAGGCAGTGCCCCCTGTACCTGGGTAAGTGTTCATTTGTTTCCCAACTAGAGGTTCCACTGGTCCCCTAGCTGGGGGTGCGCTCGCGACTGACACTACTCCTCAGCCATGCATACTCTCGCCGCGCACCAGAACTTAGTATTGGAGGAATTTTTTATAGAGGTTATCTTCCTCGCGGTCCGGGCGACCAAGCCAAGACCCTCGTCCCGTTCAGAGTCACAAAACATGACCGTGACCTCCTTACGGGTTACGATATCGACGGCTGCAATCGGGGACAGCTTGTGTCCCGATGCTGCTCGCTGGCAGGGTGAGTGCACAACGAGCACCGCCCTTGCCTCTACGCCACGCTCTCTGCTATGTCCAGAGAGACGGGCGGAGAAACGCCCCTCGGAAGCGCGGGCTATGAGCCTCCGCACATAGCCCGCCGCCTCCAGAACCCTATCGGGTTCGCCCGCCCAGTCCAGAAGTCTGCTGCGGGCGACAGTCACTCCAACCCTATCACCCCCGCTAGGGAGACTGTCGCCCGCACCCAGGGTGCACCACGGGGAGGTCTTCTGGCACCGCACCCCTCAGTTCCTAGTATAGGACTCCTCCCCTGTATGCGATAGCGTGATATTATGTAGCCTATATGTTGACCCGACTTCTTAGTAATATTCATGTAAAATTTGAAGTAAATCCATGCGGTACTTTTTAAGATCATCCTGGACATACATACAGACAACCAGACAAAAATTCTTAAAACCATATTTTTGGTTTCGGTATCGATTGTAGATCACGCTCCAAGTATTATTTTTTAAAAATATTCAATGTACAGTCTTGACTTTTCTACGATTTTATTATTATTATGATTTGAAAAAAAAAACAGTTGAGAAATTCCTTTGTTTAATCTCAGTGAGACTAGCTTCCAACCTTCCTTACTATTTACTCATCGATAACCCACGACCGTACATAGATTTAACGAGATTTTATTTCACATCACTTCACATCAACAGCCTATTAGTGGTCACTGTTGACCAAAGGCCTCTTCTCAGACGGATAAGGTTTGAGCATCATTCACAACGCTTACTCAATGCGGGCTGGTGATTTCAATCTTATAATTAGAAATTAATAAGCCTAGGTTTCCTCACCATGATTTCCTTTACCGTTTGTCAGTGGTGTCTAAATTATCTTAGAAAGTACATATAACTATGAAAAATTACATTGTTACTTGCCGGTGGTAGGTATCGAAATCGCATCACCCAGGCGGAAAAAGTCATTGGATGATGTTTCCTCTTAAAAAAATCCTTATACATGAGAAGCAGTCGTCTTAAACCTCCTGGCTACCACGATTTTACTTGTGTTTTCTAAAGCAAAGGGCCTCCAAATGAGGAACATCAACAAAGACGTATTTGCACATTGGTCTTTTAATCTTATACCTTACTAGCTACTGCCGCGCGGTTTCACACGCTCTGCTCAGCTCCTTTTGGTCGGAGCGTGATGTTTTATAGCCTATAGCCATCCTCAATACATGCGCTATCCAATCCAAAAAAAATTCAAATCAGACTTGTAGTTACCGAGTTTAACGCGTTCAAATAAACAAACAAAAAACAAACTCTGCCGCTTTATTTAATAGTATAAGAGTATAAGATTCAGTTCAGTCATTGATTTAAACAGATACTAGACTCTTTTGTTACTACTTTGAGAAATAACTTTGATATATGTATGTAGGTATTTTAGGTCGTAAACACAAGCAACCCTTTTATTCCCTCTGTCTAAGCACATAAACATGGCTCCATGTGGCTTTAATTAAGGCACTGTTTAACCGCAAATTTTGTGACCGAAAAGCCGGTTTTGCAATGTACTACTATTGACACGTACTAGTTATTCACGTGGTAATGAGCGAAACAGAACGTTTGACGGTGGAAACTTGGTGCAGAGAAATTTAGACTTTACTGACATTGCACTTGCCTTGGTTTGCTGAAATATTAAGCTTGTTTTATGAGTTTAAATTGGTCTACCGGATGGAAGTGATTTTTTGATATTATTAATAAAAATGTGATGTTTTTCATTTAGAGCTTTTTAAAACAATGTTATGAACTTGATCTATTTTTCCTCTTGTGGCTAGTTACTCACAAGCTTAACTTGAGTTAGTTACTTAATTCAACATTTTTATTTTTCATTTCGTTCTTATTTACACAAAATGATCCGTATTCGAACACAGTCTTCTGACTATTGATCATAGCTTTAAAAGTGACGAGAATAAGTACTAATCACACGATTTATCAGACCAGTAGAAGATTAAATCCAGACGCTTCGGACGTTTATACTGGCATTCATTTAGTAAACTTGAACTGGCCACAATGTGCAAGCCTCATATCTCCTGATGCAGAAACCCTCAAAAGTCGGGACCTGGCTGTCTGCCAAGTGGCCCGCGTTAAGATACGAACCACTTCGAGTGGCTAATCCCGGCTTATTGCTGATATAGAGCAACTCATGCGTTATTTCAGGATAAAACCGCCGTCTAATTACCGGGTACCATTTTAAAACGTTCATTAAGGAATTTTAAAATGGTCTCAGGTTTATACAATTTGGAAAAACGTGGTAAAGATTGTATTTTAAAAGTGTTTAAGTGTAGGAAAGCCATGTTTCGGCATGATTGGGCCGGCGGAAGTGATACCACGGCCTCACAGAAAACCGACGTGAAACAACACTTGCGTTGTGTTTTGTCGTTAATGAGGTTACCGGAGGCCCAATAACCAACAACCCTTTATATTCCTAATTCCCAAAATGTTGGTAACGCATTTGTAACGCTTCTACTGTTTCGGGTGTACATGGACGTCGCCGATTGCATATCATCAGGTGATCCGTCTACTCGTTTACCGGTTGATCCCATAAAAAGAAAGGTTTTGGAAGAATTTCATACGATAAGTATGCCTTGTTGAAACATCCATCGTACCAATTATAATCGTTTGCCGATTGAAGGTCATTTTGCGTTGGTCTCGTTTGGGTCTTTATCGATTGCCCAAAAAATAATATTTTTATCGATATTTTCAATTTAATCAGCGAATCTCTAACGATCACCAATAATGTTATGTCCGCCTGTTATCGAAGCATATCTGATTAATTAATTATTACAATTTTATACCTTGTGATGTAGTGCTGTGATTTGAAATAGTACAACCTAGAAATGGTTTTCAAAATTATTGTATTTTCTATTTTTATTTTATTTAGTACTCAAATTACTTTGGGATATGAGCTGAATATTTTACATTATAATGACTTTCATGCAAGGTATGTTTTCTTTTGTTAGTAGATTTATTTGTACATCATTTGTAAAGCAAATGTTTATTTCAGTGTAAAAGTCAGTTTATTTACTTGTCAGGAATCTCTAATGGCTTTTTATAATAAGAATAAAAAGTCAGTCAGTTATATTTAAATAAGTCAACCAATAAATAAATAGTGTGCCGAGTTCAGACAATTGTTGAACTCACTACAATTTTAATAAAATGGCAGTAACAAGAAATAAGTCATTTAATATTGTTAGATTATAATAATTATGTGGAAAATACCTCTCGGAATTAATTTCAAAAGGAGTATTTTATGGAACTCAGTTGATATCATACTTTGAAAAGGTATTTGTAGAAATTGTACGAGCGAACAACAATTCCATAGTCAATAGCAGAATTCAACAAATTCAGTCGTGCGTTTGACAGCTCAGTAGTTAGACAGCTGAATGATTTCCCATTTTTTGTTTGGTGTTATTTAACGAGTGTTGTAAAATCGAAAATTTTTGACTGAACGTTTGATATTTCGTTTTGTACGTTTAGCTTCTGGTAGCGGTTTCACCTGCATTATCGGGTTAATAAGCTATGTTTGTTTAATTTCAGGTTTTATTTTAGTATAATTATGATATATCTAGAAGTTTATTTAGATCCGTTCTATAGTTTTTGTGTGAAAAAGTAAATAAATATACATTTTATCCCCATAAATACTTTGGATCAACATTTTAGATGTTATTGTTAGGTTTTTAATAGGTACCTTCATTTTCAATTTCTAGTATTGATCAATGGTACATTATGTTTCAGATTTGTGGAAACCAGCCGATTAGGAACTCCTTGCAATCAGACAGCTGATACTTGCATCGGTGGCTTTGCTCGCCTCGCCACCTTAGTTCGTCAGCGCTTAGACAGTGAACCGGACTCCCTTCTTCTCAACGCTGGTGACAGTTTCCAAGGAACTATTTGGTACAATATCTTACGATGGAATGTCACCCAGGACTTTATGAATATGCTTCCTCATGATGCTCATGTTGGTTTATTGTTGTTATTTTTTTTTATTAACATTGAAATTGATACCGTTGATCGAAATCGATACGATAGTTTTACGTGGGGATCGAATTTCAATCTTGATATGATGGTTATTTTGTAGAACATCATTATTTATCTTTGTAGCTAACTAGCTTCAGCCAGTGTACCTACTCGCCCTTCCCTTGGGATAAAAGTGGTATATGTGATATTCCAGTTCATAATCTAATTTCCTAATTTCATCTTAATTCCTTTAACCAACGTAAAAGAGTAACAAACACATACACATACACATCTACGTACACTTTTACATTTATAATATTAGTAGGATATTTTGAGGCACAACAAAAACCCCTCTAAATCAAGTTATTTAATTTTTTATGACTATAAAGTCATGTCCATAATCCATCATTAAATCATGATCATTATAATAATGACATAGAAATTGTCATAATTATCATGAATGTGTTGGGAATAATTCCTTTATTACTTCCATTAGATGTACATAAACATAATTTCATCGAAGCTTCCAGAATGATAACTAGAAGTAATATTCCACAGGTACTGGGCAACCACGAGTTTGACAACGGTATTGAAGGAGTAGTGCCTTATTTGAAACATTTGAACTCAAGAGTTGTTACAGCCAACATAAATGATGATCTAGAACCGACAATACAGGGACTATATGAAAAGAGTATAACTGTCGAGAGGAATAATAGGACGATTGGTATCATTGGAGTTTTAATAGCTACTACTGATGTAAGTATTTCTGATTTAAAACTCGAAATCTGCATGACAAGGGAAAATGATCTTTAGGTCTTCTAGAATGTTATCGACTTTTGAATTTTACCCTAATATGTTTAAAAATAATTATTATTTTTAGATTCTAGCATCTACAGGAAGACTAAAGTTCATAGATGAGATTGAAGCCGTCAGAGAAGAAGCTGAGAAATTGAATGCACAAGGTGTAGATATTATAGTTGTTTTGTCACATTGTGGTCTGGATATTGACAGGTAAAACTTTATTTTTGTATTTAAAGATCCATATTACATAATATTCAGTTTTATGGAACACTTACTTGTGTAGATGACAACCATAGTTTTGCAGTGGACTTGGTCTCTGTGTCAGCTCAAGTGTTCTCGAAGTAGAAAAAGAACATTTAATACAACTTCGATATTAACATTGTTAATGGATCTATTTGTGTTATTTCCAGGGAAATAGCTCTTCATGCTGGACCACATATAGATATAATAGTTGGAGGACATAGTCACACGTTGTTGTTTAATGGAGAAGCACCTGAAAATAGTGGTTTCATTCCATTAGGGCCTTATCCTGTGGTAGTGGAACAAGGAAATAGAAAAGTAATTCATTTGCTAAAGTAGCATCTTTTACTCTAATTTGTATACATTTTCGAATTTAAGTCAGCACAATAAAGTTGAAATTCTTCCAGAAAAAATTACAAAAAGGAGTAGTACTGCACTTTTTTCTGATACAATACTATGTCTTTGTGTCTGACAATTCATTTTACAATAACCTCATTTGGTTCATGAGCATTTTTGAACACTTTCAGGTTTTAATCGTTCAAGCAGCAGCGCATACTCAATATTTGGGAGAAATTAAATTAACCTTTGATGATAATGGACATTTAACCCACTGGGCGGGTAACCCACACTATATTGGAAATGAAATTGAACAAGGTATGATCGAATTAATTTCTCAGTAGGAATAATTAAATGAAAATTACTTTTGATTTGTGATAATGATACATAATAAAAATGAGTCTCCAAAATAACTTTTAAAGGATTTTCCAACTAGTGCAGTTTTTTTTACGTTTTCAACGGTTTTACTTGGCTGGACACGTTTTTTTTTTATTTGGATCTTAAGTAATTGGAATTCCTTACCCATCTTGATCACAGATCAATCAGATTTCTGATATTATAAAAATAAGAGTTCTTATTCTTGATGACCATACACATTATACCCATTTAACATAAAACGTATTTTTATGCCATCCTTTTTGTTTGTGAAAAAACTGCACATTCACCAGTCAGTTAAAGAATAGTTGCCAAGCAAAGCCAAAACGGGCGACTAGTAAAATTATGATTGACAAACATGAGAAAGTGGGTGTTTCGTTGAATAGACGAGATTGTAAAACCTGAAGGTTGAACTCTGGTGAAATCGTCCTCCATCGTAGACCACATCATCGCTTACCACCAGGCTGGATAGTGGTCAAACGTCAGTCTCATGTAATATAAAAAAATTAATGCCGATGACGTTTATTTTACTTCCAGCACAAGATGTGTTAGACAAGATAGAAGAATATCTCCCACTCATTGAAGAGAAAGCTAATGAAGAAATTGGTTCAGCTTTAGTAAAATTATCAGCTGACTGCGCATGTTCGGAGTGCAATCTTGGAAACTTTATGTGTGATGCTTTTATGCATGCAGTAAGTTTTTTTTATAATTTACATAAGACATATCAATTTAACTCATTGAGTACCGTCATTATAGACACAATTAAAGAACAATAGGTTGCGGTTATCGGTGACCGCGCGGTGTTTGACAGTTTAATTTCCATCTTGACTAAAATATCATAATGACTGAAAAGTCTTTGGAATTCCAAAGTCTTTCGAATTGATTTTTAGCATTAAATTCTACAGAGTTTGTCTCAATAGCCTAGACTGATCCGCAGATTGGAATTGAAATCGATTATTAATAGTTATGTCGTGGTGGCTCGGAGGTTTAATAGTACCATTGTGACTTTTTTAGAGTTATATGTACCATTTTAAGATTATCTAGACAACACTGACAAACGGTGAAGAATTACATCGTGAGGAAACCTGGGCTTATAATTTCTAATTATAAGTTTATAATCGCCAATCCGCATTGAGCAAGCGTGGAGATTGATGCTTATCCTTCCCCACGTGAGAAGAGACTTTGCTTAGCAGTGGGCATTTATAGGCTGTTGATGATAAATACTTGGCCAGTGAATAGACGTATCTACATCGGCTTTTGCATTTATGCTGCACTTAAAAGTTGCACATTGGCGGACTCATTCTATGAATATAATTACAATAAAATAATTTTAATTGTACCAGACACTGTCTAGAGCTGGCCCCAACCAGTGGAATTATGCACACTTCTGCGTCAATAACCGAGGAGTTATTAGAGCAGCTATTGATAGTGGAGGTAAGATAGTGATTGGTTTTATGATTTGACATTGTCTCTTTTCCAATTTTTTGGAAGGCGTGTTATCAATGTGAGATCGGAGTCGACTGTGTTGAGTTCCGTTAGATAAATTCAAGTAAAATATTGACTGTTGTATTAATGTTTCGATTAGTCTTCATCTTCCATTAGCTTAGTATATATAGTACTAGTTTTTTATAGAATCTTTTGCTATGTTTCATCTATAGTCCATCTGTTTAGGTAATTAACTAAAGGTAAACAAAGAAAACCACGTGACACAGAGATACTTAACCTACTATTACTTCAAATATTTCTCGTGTTTTAATTTTAACTAAATTCACTTTAAAATCGTTCATTTGTCATACACACACATACAAGTACAAATGCCTAAATCGTACAAGAGCCTAGCCTATGGGTCTATTTCATTATCATGTTTAAATAGAAACTATTCTGAATCTGATATACGGATTTCTTTCTTGTACGGAAATCTGTCTTTGGGCCAAGTTTCTTCAATATATTTGAACACATTAATTACAAACGATGAATAACCTAAACTTAAATAACTTAATAACAAAAACAAAACAAAGAAACAAGTTAAATTCAACAAAATAGGAACGCGAGCGCAAACGACGAGAGAGCTGTCAATGGCGCCTGATTAACCGACTAAACGTAATACACGCTACTTTCATTGTCGCGCTACATCTTCGTTGTACTCTTTAATTTGACAATATTATTTTGCTTCGTTCTTAAAGAAACGTTTTGGATACCTGGGATTTTAGGCTCTTTATGGTGTCTATTGTAATGAAATATTATATTATTTAATAAATGTTATTAAATTAATATCCTCAAGCAGATATATTTAATATTTATTAAGAAATAAGTGAAAAGGAACAGAAACATAACATTTAATAGAGAAAACTGTCGTAAAAAGGGAAACAATTTTATTTTCTTATGAAGTATTTTGAATCATGGAAATGTCAACTATAAAGAACTCTTTTTATGGTTTGTTTACAAATAGTTAACTACCTAAACAGACGGAGTATAAATATCTATTGAGTGCACAGTTGGCGCGGTTGGCTACGCAATTGACTGTACTGTGCAACGTGTAGCGGGTTCGATTCCCACACAGAGCTACTCTTTATGTGATCCAAAAATTGTTGTTTCGAGTCTGGGTGCCATGTGCATGTGACACTGTATCTTTTTAAATGCACCTATGACTTAGAAGAGAATCCTAGTGTGAGGCAATATTATATATTATTATATAAAAAATAAAGTTCAGAGTTATTAATAACTCTTGTGTTTAAATCTTATTCCTTACACAAAAATGTACATGGTTTGTTGCTAAAGTATATGTAATTCTGATATTAATAATTTTTCTACAGTGATAACTTACGAAGGGATGATTGTGGCCAGTCCATTCGAGAACAACGTTGAAGTTTTTGATTTAAAAGGCGAACATATTATGGAAATGTTGGAATTTTCTGTGGAAAATGTACAGTGGCCTGGTGCACGGCTGTTACAGGTCTCAGGTAATGAATTCTTTGTATGAATTAAATATTATTTCTTTATAGATTACTTAATTATTTTAGAGTATATATTTACTTTGTTTTGTAATGGGCTCTATTCAAATAATTGTCTAATGACCTTGAAGTTGTGACGTAGATTAGGTGATTATTGAATATTGTGTAGGTCGAGTAATGATGCGTCCAAATTTGGACTTAGATTACAATTAAAAAATCAACATAAGCTCATTTGAAAAACCATTATATTTGATAAACATAATGGTTTTTCATGTCATTAACTTTCATGAAACATACCAACTAAATTATTATATTTTTCGACTTACTCACTTATTGAATTATTGAGTAGCAGCGCGACGGTCGCCGCACCGCAGGCACGCAATGCTGCTCATGAATATGAGCTTCTAGCATGACTTGAAACAAGTCAAGTTCCTCGTAAATTAATTACGTGAGTAAACAGAAAAATATAATAATTAGCATTTTGTTTTTTTTTAATAGGCTGTTGCTAAATAGCATCATTGATGAACTGATGATAAGGGATTTGCTCTAAACACACATTAACCTGGCATTCTTCTCGACATTGTTTAATGTTACAGGGTTGCGCGTAACTTTCGATGGTTCTCGACCAGTAAACTCAAGGGTGGTTGATGTGCAAGTGAGGTGTATCGAGTGTGACGTCCCTAAGTACGAACCATTGAAGCTCGACCAATACTACAAGGTGGTGTCACAGTCTTTCATTGCAAATGGCGGAGATGGTTATAGTGTAAGTAACATTTTTGCCATTGTTCTGTATTTTCTTTTTATGGATAAAAATGTTTGTGTGAAATTCATTAAATAAAAAAATATTCATTTCAATATACTATGAGTATTAAACTGTCTTTTGCTTTAAAAATATCAAAGATAACTAACCATTATTGTTGTGTGGATTTTTTAATCATCAAGGTAAAAATACATTAGGGAACAAACATTAGTGGACTGCCTCGTTGGCCGAGTGGTCGCAATTGCGACTGCCGGGCAAGGGGTCTCGGGTTCGATTCCCGGGTCAGGCAAAGTATTACTGGGTTTTTTAAAAATTCTCAGCAGTAGTAAGGAGCCTGGAACTGTGCCCGGTGTATGACAATAGGCTCACCCCCTATTACATGGGACTCATAACATAAATAATGAAAAGTGGGTGTTACATTGTACAGAGGTATAATGTGCACCTCTGCCTACCCCATTGAGGATAAAAGACGTGATGTTATGTTATGTTATGATATGGAACAAATGTCGCACAATATGACATGTATTGGCAACATGTCAAGCGAAGACATATAAATAAATAAATCGCCATATATGTCACGATTTCGCGTGACATACATGGCGACTTATGTCCACTGCGACGTTGCCAGACATGTCGACCAAAGTACGGCAACGTCGCGTTACTTCACCCGACGTCGCTGGTGACACGTGTCGCAAGTAGTTTGTCCTTAGTCTATCCTTGGCTTTATCATTAAAAAAAACAAAAGAAAGCAATAATAACATACTTATAACAGGTGTACTGATTCTTCTTTACTAATTTGAAACTGTAATTGTAATTTTTCTTTGTTAATTTCAGATGATCAGTGACAATCGCAAAAATATTGAGGTTCTTGGAGTTGACTACGATATCCTGTCTTCTTATGTAGGCCATCAATCACCAGTCTTTGCTGAGAACGAAGGACGACTAACTTTCAACAATTTCTGCCAACCAGAGTAGATTATGAAGTTTTTCATAATACATGTTGTTATAAAATATCGTGTTCACATTAATGCTGTCCGTTCGGATTCATTCACTCAACATTTTACATTACGTTACCAAGTATTCGGATACACACATACAATCCCACATTAATAATATTGTTGTTTATTCTTAAAAATAAATATTGTTTTCATTGCATCGTGTACATTTATTTATGTAAAATTACATTCTCAGTTTTTAAAATTCTAATGAATTAATTTCAATGTACAAAATAGGGATAACTCAAATGATCCACTTTCCTATCATCTGAATTTTACGAAAGTCTGTTAATCACTGGTTGACCGATAGTTGCTTTACTGAACTAATTTGTTAATAGATAATAATCTTATCTCCTGTTAATATAGTATCAATTTCAGTAGCAAAAAGATACCAAGAGAGTGTTGTGTGTAGAAATGAATTCACACTATATGTAAATTGTTGTGTTTCAGAGTAACTTGTGTGTCCTTCTTTTGATTGAGTCAAAAATATACATTAATGAAATTGTTATTCCGGAATTACTTCTTTGGCACAGATCTCCTTTTAGTACTTATCACAAATCGCGTTATCTCAATCATTATATTTTTGATATTCATATTACCGTGTACTTCATTGTGTTTATCATGTTTTAATCTTATCTATTTAAATTATGTGTTGATTAATTGCAATTATTTAGACGTAGGATATCACTGGTGGTGCTAGATTAAAAATGTCGCGGCTACTGCTATTATTATTTTCTTATTGTGTTTTGTGTGGACTCCAAAATGTGTCGGGAAATTATGATCTAAATATTCTTCACTACAATGATTTTCATGCAAGGTATGTATGTATTATTGAATTAAATTATTTGCAACTGTAAAAAGTAGTGGCGTAACTACGGGGTTGCAAGTCGGCAAAATGAAGCGAGCCCCCAGCTCCAACTTAGTCCCCGTTCAGAGGTTTTCATCAGAACTTCTTTGTTTTTATTGGGAACGGGAGCCTATCCGATGAGTTTGTCATTAGCCCCGAAGTTTACGCTACTGACAAAAAGTGATTTACTATATGTGTTACTCCAAATTATATTTCCTGTGACACATTTGATGGACATCTTTTCAGTATTTGTTTTTTGTGAATACGTAATAAATATCGTTACAAAGTTTCGTACTTATATTGTTAGTATTAAGGACTATCACACAAATCTCACATTCTAAACAAACGTCTTTTAACTAAGAAACCCTTATACTTTTAAAATGGACGCCACGAAGACGATATAAATCTATCAGTTTTTGTTACTATAAATGTCAATAGAAGGTGCTTAATAGACGTAGCTAAGAATGTTAAAACGATGTATATAGGAAAATAATGCCGACTGCCCAAAATGCGTCATTTGAAAAATCCTCGAAATGTCAATAGGTGGCCTACAAACGACAAATGCTTGCATCTTGTTTGGAAACATTATACGTCCATGAAGCGGCAACCGCAAGCCGCTTATCGTTATTTTTAGGATTTAAATTATTTTTCGTGGACAGTACCTAAGACTTATTGTTGAACTTGACGTATTTTCCATGATGGTTCTTAGTAGGCGGTTGTTTCATGTAGACAATGACATATAGTATAGTCGAATAAAATGCGATGTTATTCGCAACCTAATCGGGAAAAAATGTGATACAAAACTATCCCAGGAGAGGTTTGGAATTATCATTTGTAATTTTATTTCTATTATGTAGTTTTATAAAGTTAAAATCTTAATAGCTTAGGTTAACGTAAGTCATTTTTGTTGGTATAAATAATTGGGGATGTACCTACCCTACATTGTAATGAGTACAGAAGGGATTAATATTTTTTTGATAAAAGTGACATTTAATTGATATAAGGTAAAATTATTCAGGATTGCGTAGATAACGTGCATCATTATATTGCAATTATTCGATGCTGAAGATTAGTAATTGATTCCTTAAAGATTAGAAGTGATAAACAGCTTTAAAGTATTACTGTTCAATAAGGAAAGAAATGTATAAATGATAGGAGAAGTTTGGACACATCGTCTCGTGTTGGCCCTCACGCACTGAACACGCATAGCATGCTTGTTTAACACAAGATAATATTAATTTAATACACAATCATAAAACAATGAATTCATATGACGTGTTTGTTAGAAATAATTTGTGATATTAAGGGCCTATTTCACAATGGTTGTACCCACAACCATTGTGAAATCGTCGTCGATGCTGCAAAAAACATTTTTTTTTGATTTAGATTAAGAATGTGATTTGTATGAACATAATTTTATCGAATATTTGTATAAAGGTGGTGATACAGGCAGTTAATGCAATGAAGCTAAAATGATAGGAAGACCTCTTCATATAATTGATGATGTCACATATTCGTAATAAAGAAAAACATGTCATGATACATTAATCTTTCAGGTTCGTTGAAACAAGCCCAGCTGGTAATATTTGTAACCCTAATGTTGCTCCCTGCATCGGTGGTTTCGCCCGGTTAGCTACATTGGTTCGTGAGCGTCTAGCTGCTGAAAAAGATTCCCTTCTCCTCAATGCTGGAGACAGCTTCCAGGGTACAATTTGGTACAATCTTCTGGGATGGGAGGTTACAAAAGACTTTATGAATATGCTCCCTCATGATGCACATGTAAGAATTTGTTTACTGTGAACCGTACACTATACTAGTTCTATTGAAGTCATATTCGTGTGATGTACTAGAGTAGATTTATATTTTTTGTGTAGTCCCTGAGTCAGCTAAGGGGCTAGACGTTTGGCAAAGACCGGCCCGCAGCGCTCTTTGATACATTAATTTATTTTTATTCTCTCGATTTTTTTATATTTTAATATTCTTATTCTCCACGGAATCTTGTCCGTGCCCTTGTCATTTAATTACATATTCTCTCGATTTTTAACCCTGGGTACACAAATCTCCAAGCGTAAAAATTATGGGTGGGCACCTAACACTCTTAAATAGAGGAGATACTTAGTCCAGCAGTGAGACTTAAGAGGCAGAATTCACTTCTGCCAGTAGGGAATTTAGGGAATGGCATGGTTTTATAAAACTTCAAGAATTCTTAAACTTTATACATATATAGATAAATAAAATATATACATACAGATAAATAATATTTGAGTTTCAGTTTGTAATATTGACAAACATTTTTTATTACATAAGCATATACAAATGGTACATATAGCAAAAAAGACTTGACACTTTTTGTCTATCTGTGTGTCTGTTTGTACTGGTTAATCTTTGAAGTGGCTGGACCGATTTCATAGGCAGGGGGAATAAGGAGTAACTTAGGCTAATTTTATTTTGGAAAAACGCGGACATAGTTGCGGGTACAGCTAATAACTAATAAAATAATACATTCTCAGGTACTAGGTAATCATGAGTTTGACCACGATATTAGAGGAGTTGTTCCATACTTGCAACATTTAAACTCCAAAGTGGTGACTGCCAACATCATCGATGACTTAGAACCTACAATGCACGGTTTATATGAAAAGAGTATCATTGTTCCAAAGAATGGAAGAAGAATTGGAATCATTGGTGTTATAATAGCCACCACTAACGTGAGTAAAATATTATTTGTTTTACGTTAAAAGACGAAAGATAAAGATAAAGACATTTATTTGCGTAAAAACATGGTATACAAAGATGTTATTGTTACAATATAATAGATCATCATGTTTTGTTTAATAAATAAAGCATGCAAATTTTAACTTAAATCTTATTTTAACTAACTTACACTCGTAGTTATAAGTTATACATCATTATTTATGTTCAAAAAATTCCTTAATGATAGTGACCTTATTTACTTGAGTATCGTCATTATAGACACAAATAAAGACAGTGAAGGGTAAATTTAAGACTTAAGGCCCAACACTGTCAAACACCGCGAGGACACCAGTTTCCGCACACCTATTGTTCTTTAATTGTGTCTATAATGACGGTACTCAAAGGGTGATCAATCAATCAGTCAATAGGATTACCCCTAACATAAATAGTGAAAAATGAGTGTTACATTGTACAGTGGCATTAAGGGCCGTAATGTGCACCTCTGCCTACCCCTTCGAGGATAAAAGGGGTGATGTTATGTTAAGATCAAGTTTATCATTTCTTGTAAATTGTCATTCAAGTCAAACTATACTGACCAAGCGTGGTAATTAATGCTCAAACCTTCCGAATATGAGGAGAGACTTGGCTCAGTAGTGGACACTTGTAAGCTGTTGATGATGATGAATTAGAAATTGGAAGGATTAGGGATGTTACGGAGCTCCGTAACCGTTACCGAAACTATCTGATATCCGATATAAAAAAATATCCGTAACCGTAACCGAATCCGAAATAAAAGTTTCGGATACTATCGGATAGCGGCGTGACGTATAAACGAAACAATTATATTAGCTATTTGTATTTTATTTTTGAAATTCCTTAAAATTTTAATATCCGTAACCGAAATTATCCGAAACTAACGGATAAACCGAAATAATTTCATATCCGTATCCGTAACCGTATCCAGTATAATAATCATTTCTATATCCGTATCCAATCCGTATCCGAAATTTCATATCCATAACATCCCTGGAAAGGATTATTGACATAGCCACATTTCATGAGTCGTGTCGATATGACGTAATATGATGATAGGTAAAAAAAATTATATCTCTCATCGCTATAACGCTTACTAAATTCAGAAGATGATAAAATAACTATTTCATATTTCAGACATTAGCTTCAACTGGTAGACTTAGATTCACTGATGAAGTTGAGGCTGTTAGAGAAGAAGCAGAAAAGCTGAACGCCCAGGGGGTCGATATTATCATTGTTTTATCGCATTGTGGTCTGGATATTGACAGGTAAGTTTTCAAGATATCTCCATATTCTAGTGTACAAGAATACAAGACAGATATTTCTTTATCCATAGTCTTGTTGTCCATTTTATACCTCTGATGATATGAGGTCATCTGCAGATGCCTCATTTTATGCAAATTCCAAAATTCTTCTTCTTTCTAATTCGCTTATTTTACGTACATTCAAACTACGATAAAATACTTTTTGGGGAATGTAAAATGAAGTGGATAGCGATCGAGAGGTGAATAGAGACAGAAGAGGGGTGAATAGATATTAGGAAACTCTTCATAGTATCGGTTTCCCCCTCTTCTGTCCCTGTAAGCCTCTAGATAGTGGCCTCATACCGTGATTTTCTCCTGTGTCATTGGCCATGGGTGTGTGTAAAAATAAACAAATTCACCAATACAACATACGCAGACCACATATTATTGAAACAACAACTTGTGAATCATTCAGAGTTGTTCCATGCTGAAATCGAACCCGCGACACGTTGCACAGCAGCTGTTTGCCCACCAATGCTCATTTAATCTGTCAAACACCAAGCGGTCACCGGTGACCGCGACCTATTGTTCTTTAATTGTGTCTATAAAACCGGTACTCGACGAGTTAAATAATTGCTATCATGTGAAACTTAATAGCCAATAGTAATTGATTAATGTCTGCAGAGAAATTGCCATGCACGCTGGTTCTCATATCGATATCATAGTTGGAGGGCATAGTCACACATTGCTGTTCAATGGAGATGCTCCTGAAAACAGTGGCTTCACTCCATTGGGACCTTATCCTGTAGTTGTGGAACAAGAATCAAGAAAAGTAAGTACTCTATTTACATCGACGTAAAACAACGCTTGCGTTGTTTTCCACTATGTGAATGAGATCACTAGAAGTCCAATGCCTCTCATCCCCAATCTTCCAAATCCCTCATTTTCAAATACCTAGCACCCAACAGGTACAGTCAGTATCAAAAGTTGATGAACGCATTTAGATTTTCAAAATGGCTGTACACCGTATCACAAATAAATCGGCAAACATGACGAGCACCTTAAATACAACACGACAATTATTTATTTTTGCCACTTGTCATTTTGACCGAAACCGTACCATGCACTTGTACCGTTGGTCCATGGTTGACATCGACTGTTTACCATCCGGCTGATCGTTTGTCAGTCTATGCCATAAAAAATATAGGCATTGGTCATTGGGCACAATTATTTTATTTCTTTATTATCATCATATACATAATATTATCTGATTACAATCGGAGAATAGTGTGACGACTAATAGACCACGCATTCTGGAAATTGCCATCAATGAAGTCAGTACAAATATTGATATTGCAAACGACGATAATGATCAGAATTATTGTTTATAGGTTTTGATAGTGCAAGCTGCGGCACATACTCAGTATTTGGGTGAAATTAAACTTACTTTTGATGACAATGGACATCTTCTAAGATGGGCTGGCAACCCTCACTATATTGGAAATGATATTGTTCAAGGTATGTGAGTATAAACGAATTTGTTTATTTCGAGTTTCATTACAAGAAACATAAATTTGTTTGATGACGTTGCATTCAATCTTTGAATTTATATGACGTAGTTTTAGGCTGGTTTCAGTGTCGCGCTGACCCCACGCTGACCGTCCGCGCTGACAGCTGCGAATGTGAACTTCTGGGAGCCGTGGGCGCTGATAGCCACGCGTCATTCAAAAACGCTACCTAATAGTTACTACATCTCGGCTGACAGCGCTAACGGTCAGCACGCGGTCAGCGCGACATTACAACCAGCCTAATACTTAAAAGCAAAATTGAACCATGTTTTCTATGAGCGATTTTCCATAATAGGACGTATTAATCATATAATACATTTGACTAACATTGTATGTTTTGTACGTGTGCCCTCAATAAACTAAGCTAAATCTATCTTATCAATTTAAATATATTGAAGGTATTTTCTTACAGCACCTGATGTTTTGGAGAAGATCAATTATTATTTACCATTGATTGAGGAGAAAGCTACTGAAGTGATTGGCTCGTCTTTAGTTCACCTGGCAGATGACTGTGCATGCTCTGAGTGTAATCTTGGAAACCTTATTTGTGACGCCTTTATGCATTCAGTAAGTTATTATTTATTTGACTTTGATCTAAACTAGTATAGACGTCTTTTTGGTCTTAAAAAAAAGTCTATAAAAAAAATACTTTTTTAAATTTCTCCTTTGTAAAATTTTACATACACATGACATCCAAACCCAAAACAACAATTTGTGGATCATGCAAATAGTTGCTTCGTACGGGAATCGAAGCCACCACAACGCCAACCGTGCAATCTAATTAATGTTACATACTATATTTTGTTTTGGTGATAATAATATATTTTATTGTCTATTTACATATTAATTCTGAAAACTGTTAAATTTTAATTTATTGTCTATTTCAGGTGATACCAAGAGCAGGCAATACCACCTGGAATTACGCACACTTCTGTGTCATTAATCAGGGTGGCATTAGAGTACCCATCGACGAAGGAGGTGAGATTATTTAAAACATATATTTTAATGAGTATATCCCTTGCGTTTTGTGAACAACTTGTATTTACATAATATAACATAACATCACGCCTTTTTATCCCCGAAGGGGAAGGCAGAGGTGCACATTTCGGCACTTAATGCTACTGTACAATGTAACACCCACTTTTCACTACTTATGTTATGAGTCCCATGTAATAGGGGATGAGCCTATTGCCATATACCAGGCACATTTCCAGAGTCCGTGCTACTACTGAGATTTTTAAAAACACAGTAATACTTTGCCCGTCTCGGGAATCGAACCAGAGACCCCTTGCCTGGCAGTCGCACTTGCGACCACTCGGCCAACGAGGCAGTCAACAACTTGTATTTGTTGATACAAAAGCCCGTATATTAAAATTGTCGTGTTTGAGAAGTAAAAAACGAATTACTGTTTTTACTAAATTCTACTTTAAACTAAATTCACTTCTTCAGTTTTGGATATACTCTGACAAATTTTGCCTTCTTGACTGCGTCGTTAGCCGAGTGGTCGCATATGCGACTGCCGGGCAAGGTGTCACGGGTTCGATTCCCGGGTAGGGCAAAGTATTACTGGGTTTTTAATTCTCGGTAGCATCACGGAGTCTGGAATTGTGCCCGGTATATGGCAATAGGCTTACTTTACATGAGACTCATAACGTAGACAGTGAAAAGTGGGTGTTACATTGTACAGTGGTATAATGTGCACCTCTGCTTATCTCGTCGGGGATAAAAGGCGTGATTTTAAATTATATCTGACAAATTTTTTGAATAAAGTATTTAAAGAATAAAATAATCAAATGGATCGTTTAAAGGTCCTCCCACACAGCAATTATATAACGTTATACCACATTGTTGTCGTTACACTAAAAATGTCGTGGTGGCCCGGAGGTTTAAACTGTCAAACACCAAGCGGTCACCGGTGACCGCGACCTATTGTTCTTTAATCTATACATATATAATTCAAAGGTGATTGACTGACTGACTGACTGACATAGTGATCTATCAACGCACAGCCCACACCACTGGACAGATTGGGTTAAAATTTGGCATACAGATAGATGTTATGACGTAGGCATCCGCTAAGAAAGGATTTTGATAATTTCCACCCCCAAGGGGGTAAAAAAGGGGATGAAAGTTTGTATGTAACTTTGTCAGTTTTAAACCGATCGGGTTGAAATTTGGCATGCAGATAGATGTTAAGACGTAAGCATTCGCTGTGAAAGGATTTTGATAATTTCTACCCTCAAGGGGGTAAAATAGGGGATGAAAGTTTGTATGAGGCTTTGTCAGTTTTAAACCGATCGGGTTTAAATTTGGCATACAGATACATGTTATGACGTAGGCTTCTGCTATGAAAGGATATTAATAATTATTACCCCCAAGGGGGTAAAATAGGGGATGAAAGTTTGTATGACACTTTATCAGTTTTAAACTGATCAGGTTAAAATTTGACATGCAGATAGATGTTATGATGTAGACATCCGCTATGCAAAGATTTTGATAATTTCCACCCCCAAGGGGTAGAATAGGGGATAAAAGTTTGTATGAGACTTTGTCAGTTTTATATCGATCGGGTTGAAATTTGACATGCAGATAGATGTTATGACGTAGGTATCCGCTGTGAAAGGATTTTGATAATTTCCACCCCCAAGGGGGTAAAAAAGGGGATGAAAGTTTGTATGTAACTTTGTCAGTTTTAAACCGATCGGGTTAAAATTTGGCATGCAGATAGATGTTAAGACGTTAGCATTCGCTGTGAAAGGATTTTGATAATTTCTACCCTCAAGGGGGTAAAATAGGGGATGAAAGTTTGTATGAGGCTTTGTCAGTTTTAAACCGATCGGGTTTAAATTTGGCATACAGATACATGTTATGACGTAGGCTTCTGCTATGAAAGGATATTAATAATTATTACCCCCAAGGGGGTAAAATAGGGGATGAAAGTTTGTATGACACTTTATCAGTTTTAAACTGATCAGGTTAAAATTTGGCATGCAGATAGATGTTATGATGTAGACATCCGCTATGCAAAGATTTTGATAATTTCCACCCCCAAGGGGTAGAATAGGGGATAAAAGTTTGTATGAGACTTTGTCAGTTTTATATCGATCGGGTTGAAATTTGACATGCAGATAGATGTTATGACGTAGGTATCCGCTGTGAAAGAATTTTGATAATATCCACCCCCAATGGGGTTAAATAGGGAATGAAAGTTTGTATGAAACTTTGTCAGTTTTACACTGATCGGGTTGAATTTTGACATGCATGTAGATGTTATGATGTAGACATCCGCTATGAAAATATTTTAATCAATATCAAGTAAATGTTTTGATGAAGGCATCCCATAAGATAAGATTTTGATCAATTCTACCCCCAAGAAAACAAAATTGGGGATGAAAGTTTTTAAAGGTTAAAATTCCAACACTCTGTATCTCTTAAATCACTGAATTTATTTGATTGAAATCCATTTGATAGAATAGTTTTAATCACTGAAACCTCACGAGGCGAGCTCTGTAGGGGTTGAAACCTGATTGTTGGGATTGTGTATTTTTTGAAATCACGAAAATAAATTCATTTCGCAATAAGTATAACATAAGTACTGAATGAAGTCTGACGACATTTTTTTACTACCGTGGAATGTCCCTTGGTAAAGTCTAATTCAAAAACCTAAATTCTGCACGAAGTCATTCTGCGCGGACGAAGTCGCGGGCAACAGCTAGTTGTGTCTATAAAACCGGTACTCGACGAGTTAAGACGCCCACTTCTCATGCATGACGGTGCGGGTTCGAAACCTACCAACGGCAAGTACCAATGTGACTTTTTCCGAGTTATATGTACTTTCTTAGATTATTTAGACACCACTGACAAACGGTGAAGGAAAAACATCGTGAGGAAACCTGAACTTATAATTTCTAATTATAAGTTTGAAATCGCCAACCCGCATTGAGCAAGCGTGGTGATTAATGCTCTAACCTTCTCCGTGTGAGAAGAGGCTTTGCTCAGCAGTGGGCATTTATAGGCTGTTAATGATACCACATTGTGTAACATGATAACATTTATAATAGCGTGTAAAATACTCTTGTTTTGTAAAATAATTTGTTTAAAAACAAATGTGAAGTCAGTCTCTAACGTTATTAACTGCCGTGTGGGACCTTTACACTTCAATTGATATCGTTTTCAACTTCATCAACTTTTTGCACAATTACTCTTTGACGATCGGTCATTTCTGTGTTCTCATATAGATTGTCCATGCAATAGGATAGTTTCCTTAATTTTATTTTAATATCTGTCTGGTACATTAATTTAAACTTTAAATACTTTCGACAATAGTATATTAATTTGAAATATCGTGTGACGTCACAGCGTGCCACATTTTGTAGCACGTTATGACGTAACAACCTCCCACTCCTAAACTTAGCGCCATTTTATCTAAATATTGCGACTTAATACGAGAAAATAAAAAAAATACGTGTCTAATATTTTTTCATTATCTAACTGACGGACTAATTAGATTTTTAATTTTGATACCCTGGAAACTACCCAATTACTATGTCCAGTTAGTAGCACTAGTGTTATTGCAGCTATTAGTGCTGTGGCTTGTGTAATTGTTCGGTTTCAATGTTTGCTCCAATTTTGATCGTTTTACCGATACCATCGACACTCTAATTTTATTGGATTACGTCGTTTCTATTATGATCTAATTTGTTGCAGAATAGTAAGTTTTCACAACACTGTCGTATTATTAAGTACTTCTAACGTCACGAATGCACTTTGAAGATCACTTCATTGTTTATATTATCAGATCCATTGAGTTTAACACGTGAATAACACTGTAGATTATGAATTAGTCCGGTACAGTCACTTAGGTATAAGAATTAGTTTAAACTTTTAACTTTGTATAATTTTAAAAATATAACTTTCAAGGAGCATCTTTAATCACGTCTTTTCTACACAGCGCCATCTAGCGAATTTGAGTGAATAGTGAGTCATTGGTTGGTTTCAATTTGATGATTTGAAGTATTTATATAGGTAGATCAATTTAAATGCTATTTAAATCTAACTCAATATTTTTTTCTATTATTTTCAAACAGCTTCTTTTTTAAATAATTTTTTAACAGTTTCTCTTAGTTATGACTGCGTTGTTAGTCTAGTGTTGAGTAGATATGAATAATAATAATGTGTTCCTTTGCATTTAGTTTAAGTTATCTAAAGGGCCTCTGCGCAGTTAGCTTCGGCTTCTCATACACTTCCTAAATGACTGAGACTTTGTGGTCCCGTGAATGGTAAAGACAGACATAATAATAAATAATTGATTTTATTTTAAAATACGGAGATGACACGTTAATACTGTTTATCTTATTCTCAGTTCATAATATAAAGTATACTAGCATTATAAAGCCATCAAAAGTAATAGTCCTTTAAATTCTCATTTAACAATTTTCTTTAAATTCATATTTCAGTAATAACTTATGAGTCGGTGATATTGTCCACCCCGTTTGAAAACAAAGTCGAAGTTTTTGACTTAAAAGGCGAACATATTATGGAAATGTTGGAATTTTCTGTTGCCAACGAACCCTACGCGGGCGCAAGAATGCTGCAAGTGTCAGGTAATCATTTTAATAAATCATCCGTCACAAATTCAAAAACTATAAACTAGAATCCGTCTGTCATATTAAATATCTTTCATATCAAAGGACTTATAAGAAAAGAACTAGTTAAAAACTTTGGAATTTCAAATGAAACTTTGATAAAGTGTAATGCATCTTGGAAAATTAAATTCATTGTCTTTCGCGGGCGTACGCAATTCTACTCTTTCTGAAACTTCGAAACGAACAAAGTTAGTGAAACAAAAATATGATATAAGTCATGATAACTTACTTGGTAAAAGTTAATAAAAATAATATGCTTCCAAATAAATGATGGGCTAGCAATAAGATTATAAAAACGTTCTTTCTGTAATTCTAATTAAAATTACAATGCTAAACTTACTGTCTTACATTTTCCTATTCATTTATCAAAATGTACAAAAAATTAAAAAAGTAAGTCATCAACAGTTTGAAATGTCGCAGGGTTGCGCGCATCATTCGATGGTTCTCGTCCTCGAAACGCAAGGGTGATCGAGGCAACAATAAGATGTATCGAGTGTGACGTCCCTAGGTATGAACCTCTGAGGCCTGACAAATACTACAAAGTCCTGTCGCAGAGTTTTCTCGGGAATGGCGGAGACGGTTTCGATGTGAGTGTCAATATATGGTACATTACAAACATACATACATACATTCATAAACTCACGCCATTATCCAATGAAGGTAAAGCAGACACTACATAAAACCACTTATACAAAACTTAGCTGTTAATCACTTCTTTAGCTTATGTTATATGTGATTCTGATCATTATTTATGAGAGTATTTATCATAAATATCAAATTTGAGTGTATTTGACAAGTTTTGTGATGTCACCGAAACTCATAAACAACTTTAAAACATTGCACAAATTCCTTATTTGTTCATTCATCCTACTATTTATCTCACTTTACATAAAAAAAAGAATATTTTCTGTCTAGAAAATCGAACATTCTAGATCCTGACATCATTCTCTACGGTTCATATTGCCTAATATCAATAGCCTACAAGTCACACCTACAACTTAATATTAGCATAATATTGTCTACATAATGTATGTACATCGAAGTTTCTCAGAAAGTAGAATATTTTTTGAAAGATTGCTTTATGAAGGAAATGGAAATGACTAGACTAAGTTTATTTTGTAAGAAACCGAGGTAGGAAAATGTAGGTATAGGTTTTTGCATAATAGTTTCTCATTTTGAATGAAACTGATTTATTAGGTACTAGATTCTGCCCGCAATTTCGTACGCATAATCCCGTTTTATCCCGTTCCCGTAAGATTTTTTCTGTTTTAAGAACCTTCTCATGACAATAATAAACATAACAAAAAAGAATCTGCCAAATCGGTCTAGCCGTTCTCAAGTTATGGCGTGACAACGGGAAACGGGTTTCATTTTTATATATATAGATTACACTGCTTTATCTTATGGTGCTCACTCACGCAATGAAAATACTCATTTCATAGATTGATTTTACGTTAATATTGTTAGAAGAGATAATTTCTAAAATACTTCTTTACCCAAATCTAAAGCGCATTTCTGTACAGGTTGCTAGCCCATTATTTATATTTAACCTTTTGAGTACCGTCATTATAGACACAATTAAAGAACAATAGGTTGCGGTCACCGGTATCCTCGCGGTGTTTGACAGTTTAAGAATCACTCTGTCTATTAAAACAAACCGCATCAAAATCCATTGCGTAGTTTTAAAGATCTAAGCATACATAGAGACAGACAGACGGCGGATAGCGACTTTGTTTTATACTATGTAGCGATGTAAACAAAAATATTTTAGTTAATATTGTTCTATAATTTTCGACAAAGACTACGTCCATTAAATATTTTTATTGACTACGGATTGGTCTAATTTGTCTTATTTTTCCCCACAAATTTGCTTTCAACCTTGCAGGAATACGCGCTGTTTTTGATGGAGCCCGACCTTTAGGCAACCGTGTGCTTGACGTATCAATTCGATGTATCGAATGTGATGTACCCAGATACGAACCTTTATCTACCGATAAATATTACAAAGTTGTATCCACTGATTTCATAGGCAACGGTGGAGGTAATTACACTGTAAGTCGTGAAAAGTGGGTCATTACAAAATTTTTCGTTCCTGTTCGCTTGTCATAATCATAATTACATATTTTTTTATCATGTCATTGCCGTTGTTTAAATTATTAAAAAAAAATGTTAGTCACAGAAAACAACTTGTCAAATACATTAACATCAGCTAAGATTAAAAAAACGTTAAAATAACGAGATTATGACTATTATCATAACAATCCAAACACACACACACACACACACATCTGACTTATTAAGATATACATAACACATGTTAACAATCCAAACAACCTTGTTGTATCTTTTATAATAACTATCGTAAGACATACTAAGTTAACTAAAAATCGCGGGTCTCACGTGATTGGTTGCGCGACATCGCTGCGACCGCGCACGATGCTCAGAGCCTCGCGTTTTTTAGTTAACCTTGTTATCTTTATTGAGTGGCTATTTGGATACCCGATTTCAAACTTGGTCTCCGCAATAGACACTGCACTTTCCAACCCATCTGTAAGGTGTAGATTTTATATTTAGTTCTACAAAAGAGGCTCATATTCTTGCAATGCAATGTTCCGGGCTACTGTTGATGCTGGTGGTGATAATATTTGTGCTTTTTATAGGATAAGCTCGTAGACGAGCAGACGAATCACCTGATGGTAAGCAATCGGCGTTGCCCATGGACACCTGGAACACCAGAGGAATTCCAAGTTCGTTACCGGTCGTTTGGGGATTAGAAATTTGAGGATTGTTGGGGATTAAGGAACTGGGGAGATTGGGAAGGGCCTCCGGTAACCTGATTCACACGACGAAACAACGCAAGTATTGTTTCACGTCGGTTTTCTGTGAGGCATATGTTTAGAAATAAACACATTTATAATTCTAGACAACCACTATTGATAAGTGATATTATTACTTTGTACTAATTGTATGTTGTTGTCTTACAGATGATAAGTGAAAACCGTAGGAACGTAGAAGTTATTGGAGTGGACTTTGAAATTCTAATGGAATATATACGCCAACGCACGCCCGTATACGCAGAAAAAGAGGGTCGTATGCAGATCAGTAATCCATGCATTGTATGATGTGACGATTTTTTTGCATTCATATGTACATAAATAAAATTTTCTATATTTTTATATAAAATACAAGCATGATATCGAAATAGTTTTATTTGTCTTTCTCGCCGAATTGAAAAACCAGAAGGCAACCCTCTATTTATTTTGCTCTATCTTGAAATGTAACCCAGGATTGCTTGTTCGGAAGTCGTCTTGATCTCGATATTGCAAATGCATAAATACAGAAAAAAATGTTACTGTAATTAGAGAAAAATCGGCAGTCTTATTACACATGACGACTTCTTCCACACAAACTTTGGATGGATTTTTTAAAAAAGATTTTGGGAAAGGGTAGTGAGTGCACAATAACAATAGTAGTAATCGTAAAAAAGTGACCGATTGCCACAACTAGTAAATGTTACATAACGATTATAATTATGTTGACTCAGAGAAATAAACATAACATAACGCCTTTTATTCCCGAAGGGGTAGGCAGGGGTGTACATTACGGCACTTAATGCCACTGTACAATGTAACACTCACTTTTCACTATTTATTTGAGTCCCATGTAAAACGGGGGTGAATCTATTGCTATATACCGGTCACATTCCCAGACCATGTGTTACTTTTGAAAAACCCAATAATACTTTGCCCGACCCGGGAATAAAACTCGAGACTCCGTGCCTGGTAAGTATACTTCTCACTTGTAACTATTCAGCCAATGAGGCAGTCAGATATATAAAAGAAAGAGGAAAAACAAATATGATCGTACTACACATTATTCACCGATAAAATACCATTTACATGAATTAGAGCATTCAGTTACAAACTCGATAACATTTAGAAGAAAATTCATTCGGAAGATTTATATAGTGCAAAGGCGAGTATGAAAAAGTCTCAGAAATTAATTGCCATAATAAATTATACAGTAAAATGATCACTATGCTGAACGAATTGCTCACAAAAAATCTAGTTAGTCACGGACCAAGAATCGTTATTCATTTTATTGAAAAGAACTTATTTTAATGGAGTACGGATGATATTGGAAGTCTTTTTGTTAAGAAAGTTTTTCTTAGTGATATAGGTTTTTACATGATATCGAAGATGATCGTAGCTTTGAGTTTTAAAAGGGAAGCTGGATAAAAATATTGTTTAGCCGTCTGAAGGTGATTCATTACTTTTTAGTCGATGACAGATTAGCAAATTTTGCTCGCCTAATAATACGTCTACAGGTCTACAAGGCTATTACTTTTCCAGAATTTGGACAACTTCTTGGCAGGAAAAAAATCAATACTCGAGAGGCAGTACAAAATACCTTTGAAGAATATTTTGCCTCCCGGCCAGCTGAGTTTTTTATGAATAAGCATCAATAAACTGCCACTGCGTTGGCAAAGATGCATTGATTGCACGTGTAATAACTTCGGTGGTAATCCTTACTGTAATATAGTTGATGATGATTGTTCTTGGTGGTGGGTTCTCAGGGGCGTGAAATAAAGTTCGACACACGAATGACTGTAAACTGTGTATATTGGAATAAACTAAATATAAACAAAGTTGCACAATAATACAAAACTCAGAAAATATTCGCGGCACAAATATGGGCGTGTGCGTCGCGGCTCCGGCGCGGGACTCGTTCTCTCCAGCGTCGAGCGGTCAGTGGCGGGGAAGCGGGGGAAGAGGAAATAGTGTGGTGGCGCTTTGCCACTAGAGTAGCGCGCGTGCGTTCGACACAAACCAAAATCGAATTGCCGCGTTACATCCTCCCCCTCTGACCTAGACATAGCGCCCTCGCGTCTTGGTCAGTCTAGAAATCGCTTGGGTTTTCCGCGCCTACGCTTTTCGATAACAGGCGGAATCAGTACATCGCCCACGAAAGGAGTCGACTGTGAGACGCGGTACTTACCCGAATTCTCGCCACGATCTAGTATACGACGTGATTTAGACCTCGGAGTCTGTCCACGGGGCGCATCGTCGCTGCCCTGGGTTTTTAAAAGCAGATCTCCGGCTCCTGCGGAATATTCCGGCGCAGGGTGACGTTTCTTGCTAACTCGGTTCCTTTCACGGACTTTACGAGCGTCAAACGGCGCGTTTGACGTACGTCGTAAGTACGGAGTAAAACTCATGACGGTGGGCCGTTCCTCCGGGCCCTCCCCCTGCATTGAAGGTGCGACGAGAGTAGATGCCAAACGATACCGTTCTCGGCTCGCGTCAGACTTTAATCGAAGCCGGGTGTAATCGGTTGAATGTTCTCCCTTTGCGGAGCGGTTAGTTATATCCAACAGAGAAGCAGTTAACTCTGCCCTCTGGTTAACCGTCAGCGCGGTCGGCTCCATGCTATCAGTGGTAGGTAAAGCGGGGCTGGCGGCAAACAGATGCCAACTTGACTCGTCGTTAAAACGCCAGCTGCACTGTGGTAAATCCAACAGGATATTCGCTTTCATAATAAAATTCCTACCTAACAGCGTCCTCGTTTTTGCATTCGGTAGCACCATAAACGTAGTGGGTATCACGCGTTTTCCTATTATGACGTCGACGTCACACTCAAGCGCGGTACGTTTCTGCTGAGACCCGTCGGCAAGACCTACTGTACGTACGACCGTCCTAAACATCACGCCAGCTTTAACGAGCAAAGCGTGCAGCGTAGGGCTCGCGATAGAATGAGTGGCCCCCGTGTCGAGTATGGCCACACCCTTACGGTCAACGACCTCAATACTTATAAGCGGTTGTGTATCATTATCACTCACGCCTACAATGTAAGTACTGCAAAAATCTACTTTACTGGAGTCGACTGTACTTTTGCACTTATCGCATTTTGAGCGCACTAATCCCAGCTGGCCACATCCGTAGCAACGTAACTGAGTGTTATCATTATTATTAGAAGTATCTTCCTTCTTATTACGACAGTTATCAACTGAATGCCCGAAAAGTTTACAATAACTACACTTCGGTCGCGTACGTTTTCGTACGTCACTATTATTCTTTACATTAGACGTGGAGGCCTGACCTAACACGGCCGCATCACGTAAACTTACTAAAGAACTCGCGCTACATGACGATTTCGAACTTACGGGTTCGGCGACGGTTTTCGAAAGCTTAAGACTCGGGTTTGTGTCAGAACGGTCACGCGCGGCGCACGAGTCAACAGAACTCGTATTATTATTACAAATGGGGGAACTTACCTCCGCCAGTGACTCCTCGACTAACCTGACTTTGGTGATGAGTTGCTCCAGCCCGTCGAAGGAATCACGACACACGCGTTTTTTAATCCTACGATCTAACAACCCGTATACAATGTCCAACTTCATTACCTCCGGTACTACGTACGGTAATTTTGATAATAAAGCGCGCACTTTACAAATAACTACGTCGGCCCGTTCACTATTTTGTTCGGTAGCGAAAATGTCTCGAAGTATTTTATAACCGGGTCGCGGCACTCCAAACATCCCTCGAAGTCGTTGTAGGGCGTCGGTCCACGACGTGACCGACGGCTTCACTCCTTGCCACCAGACGGCGGCCTCGCCCACCAGCAGCATCGGGAGGCCGCGCAGCGCGTGCTCGTCGCTGACGTTGGTGCAGTCGCGGTAGACTTCGATGGCCTCGATAAATGCTTCGAGCTCATCCGCGTTCCTCGATGATCCGTTAAATCGCGCCGTGCATTTCGCGAAGTTACCTGCGCGCGGCGCATGCGTGTGTGCGTCGGCGGCTTCGGCGCGCGGCGATGACGTAATCAGCGGGTTTTTGTTTCCCGCCAAAATACTCTCAATCAGAACTCTGTTTGCTTCCACTTGACACCTAGTGATGTTAGAGACAAGGGTATTTAGCATATCCTCCGACATTGTAATATTCGGGGACGAAATCACGGTTCTGTTTATCTCGACATCTGTGTCGGTATCCGATCCCTCATCTCTTCCAGTTCTTCTCTTCGGCGGCATGATAACAGGCAATTCCAACTGTTACTCGCTCGAAGAGCACGGGTGATGATTTTGAGGATGGTAGCTTCAACGAGTCGGTAGGTATATACCTACAGACGCAACCGGCGGCACGCGGAAAATGGACTCGCCCAAGTGTTTTCACTTTCGTATTTGCACTGGTTTTACAATAGTTTTCGTGTGATTGCACTATCGGAGAGAGTTCACAATATGTGTTTGCACGATAGGAACACTAGAACTTGTTGTAACTTTGAGTTTTTATGCACAGTTCGTTCGTGGCCGCAAGTTGGGCGTCACTGTAATATAGTTGATGATGATTGTTCTTGGTGGTGGGTTCTCAGGGGCGTGAAATAAAGTTCGACACACGAATGACTGTAAACTGTGTATATTGGAATAAACTAAATATAAACAAAGTTGCACAATAATACAAAACTCAGAAAATATTCGCGGCACAAATATGGGCGTGTGCGTCGCGGCTCCGGCGCGGGACTCGTTCTCTCCAGCGTCGAGCGGTCAGTGGCGGGGAAGCGGGGGAAGAGGAAATAGTGTGGTGGCGCTTTGCCACTAGAGTAGCGCGCGTGCGTTCGACACAAACCAAAATCGAATTGCCGCGTTACATTACTAATATTATAAATCGGAAAGTGAGTTTGTTTGTTCCGCTTTCACGCCGTAACTACTAAACCGATTCCTTTGAATTTTTGCAGACGTAAAGTTAGAAGTCCGGATTAAATAATAGGGTACTTTTTATCCCGGAAAAATTTGATATTCCCGAGGGAAAACAAAAGTATTGGTATAGATGGCGCTGTATGTATTGGTATATGTCACATAGGCTACTTTTTATCCTTTTGTGACGCGAGCGAAGCCGCGGGTAAAAGCTAGTAAGAAATAAATGGAAAAAAATCGTTTGAAATTATTTCATACAAAACTGCAATTTATTAATACGTCTCTAATGTTTCTAAAATACAGTTTCTAATGATTATAATTGCATTAAATTATATTTCAATGTGATATTTACGTTACCAGTTAAGATATCATTGCCACACTTTTCTAGACTCTTTGCAACAAATAAGAATTCTAACAAAATTAAAAACATTAAAA